CTTCAAGATGCTTTTGTTTTTACAGGCCTTTCTTTTTCCTTGTCTTTTTTTTTCTTCTTTAATTTCACCAGGCTTGTGGTACAGGAGAATGGCTTTATTTTAAAATATTTTGGAGGCTAAGATCTTTTGAGTGTTTATCTGGAGTTGGAATGAGTACAATTCAAATTTTTGCATTTAGATAAAAGACTCTAGAATAGCTAACTTAAATATTTATGTAAAAACAAAATTGCAATACTGACTTTAGAAAATCTTTAGTGTTTTATTTTGCTACTTTATATTAGAGTTCAAATAAATGCAATAACTGATTTTCTATTAATATTTAATGATGTGTATAAATGTAATTAAAATTGAGTACTAGCTCCATGCGTGATAAGCCAGGGTTGGTATGTGGTTCCATGGTGCTTGTTGTTTTATTTGGGGCAGGGATATTAAGAATGTTAAATTTGTGACTGTTGTAAAAATTCAATCTGTGAATGTAAACTGTACTGGAATCTAAATAACTTTCCAGTTTTTCCTGGTTATTTAAGTGGTTACTTCCATCAAACAATCATTCTGTAGAAACGTGCTGAACCAAATTTTGCCCTTTGGGATCCTCAGGACTGCACATAAGCATCCAAGAGTAAAATATAACCCCCAAAATACTGAGAAGTTTTAAAATGAAGCCAACATACTAGTTACAAAATCAGGTCTTCCAACTTTCTCTCATGGACAAATCTAGACAAGTTACAGTTGACAAATGACAAACTGCTTTGCTTGAATCCTAACTACACATAGTTCCTGACAAAATATATTTTGAGACTTTTAGGCATTCATAAATATGTTTAAAACATGACTACACATTCAAATGTAACCATTGCTAACCATGTGAGGTACTAGTAAATTCCACTAAATTATGTGGATTAGGTTTTTGGCTTCATTTGGAAAAAAAAAAAAGAAAAAAGAAGCTTATATCACATTGTGTAAGCTAGAGAAGTTGCATGGAATCAGTTTGCAAGTTTTTTTTTTTAAAATGGTATTCCCATTATGCACAAGTGTAAGGTATCTCTGGAAAATATCCAAGTAATAGGACAAATGAAAGGGCTTAAGACATAGAAAGTAGTCTTATACTTCAATGAACTAGGACAGAACAGTCTAGGGATTCAGTTTTTGTCTGTCGACAAACACTTCATTTTTTAGTACAATTGGGTGTTGCCTAGGCAGATTCTGAGGTGTGTTTTTGGTCCATTTTAGTTAATGTGCTAAGGGAAATGTGTTTTTAAGCAGAGTATAGGCAAAGCAACATAGTTTTTAACCCCTTTTATACTGGTTAAACTGAAGGTTTCTATCACCTTTCACAGTGCTAAATTCAGTTAATGGAGTCGTGTTCTCTTAATGTTTACATGTTATTAGGCAGTCAGACTTCTTCAGTGATGGAAAAATATTTCTTAATTCCCTTTTTACTGGAAAAAAGATTATAAACATTAAGCAGGTGACCTTTCTGTTAACTGAAATATAGATAAGATTGTTCAAATAATTGACTACTAGTACCATCTATTTTGAGACGTAATTTTTATTTTTTGGCTGAAAACAATCATATACAAAATTCTAATGTGTTTATAGTCTTTGAGCAATCTTCATTGCTCTTGTCCTGGGTAATATTGTTCAGGTGATATTATTCAGGATGGTGACAGTTAGACTGTGCAATACATGGACAAAACAAAAGGAATCTGAAAGCAGTCACTGTTCTGTTACTTTCTATTTATTAAGTGCTTTAGGAAGGGATTAGATCAGATTAAATTTAGAACACAATGTGTTCATCTACGCATGCAATTTACTGTGGTTGACTAATTATCTGTGCAGTAAAACATCGCCATCTACACATGCGGTGGTATTAGGTTACAATAAATTAATTAATTCTGCTGTAAGAGGCAGGGGCAGTACTATCTTACTGTTGGGGGACAGTACTATCTTATGGCAGAGTAATTTGCTGTGATCTATATGTGTAGATGCTGACTGTGGGCATGAATTGTGCCCGGTCACCCCAGGCAGCAGGGGGCCAGCTAACCACATGCCGCCACCCTGCAGCACCCTCATGCCCCAGCCAGGCCCTCTGCCGCCACCCAGAGCCTGGGACTCCCCTTCCAACCCCCTCGCTTTTGTCCCCTGCCAGTCTGGGCCTGCTTCACCTCGGCTCAAATTGCTGCTGTCCCAGGCGCATGTGCAGATGTTGAACCTGGGAGTAATTTTCTCTGACTTAAATTGTCCCGGAGTTTATTGCTTTGCATTATTTGTATGCATAGAAAAATATAGACCTGAAGAGGGGTATTTAATGCCTAAAAGCTTGTCCAACAGCTCTCGAATAAGGTGTGAGATGCATAATTGTGTTTGAAGTATAATTACGCTATTGTGTAATTGTAACTGTGAAGAGTAATTGTTGTTACGCTTCACAGATTCAAAGGGAAAGATTTATTTTTGTGTAAGTTCATGAGAAGTGGTTTTTTTTTTTTTTTTTTTTTTTATAATGATGTATGAAGGATGTATTGGCATTTATCTCACTTGGACAGAAAATTAGTTTTGATAGAAATTAGCTTAGGCTTTGACAAATTCCAAATACACCCCTGCCCCAAGCCTCGTTGGACCACAGTTGAGAAAATAAACAAGCATTTGTAAGCTGAAAAAGGATCTAGTCTGTACTTGCCTCTATAGTGGTCTTAACGGTGTTTCATTACTTGCCATTGAAAGGTAGAGAGGGACCATGATTTCATCATTTAGTGAGTTCTCTCTAGTTGTTAGTCAAATAAAACTTGGATGTGCATGTCAGTATAGTTAGCTGAGGTTATTTTTGACTAGCTGCATCAATATAAAACATACATGTATTGTCTCCACTTCTTGAATTCTATATCAAGATCACTATATTTGTGCTAGCACAATTTTTCTTTTTTGCAGTGAAGACTTCCAGAGTTTTCTTGCCTATGTTAAAACCTGAGTTTTAATTGTAAAACACATGTTAAAAAAGGACCTTTCAGTCATTTAGTCACCATAAAAGAGATAAAAAAAAACACAATTCCTTTTAACCTTTGTAGGTCATCTTTAAGAACACAAGTATCTGATCTTGGAAGCGTGTTCACACAAGTAACTTTATTCATGTAAGCTGTCCTGTTTGAACTCAATGTTACTACTCACAGTAGGAAGCACTTTGCCCAGTAAATATGTGCAGGATCAAGATACAAGACAGTGGTTTCAAGAACTTGAGAGGAGCTAACAGTTGTGAGAAATCACTGCTGATTCATATAGACTGTCTTTCCCATGACACCTGTGGCTGATATTATTTCTGTGATAAAGTGCTAAGACTAATAAATGCTGTCAGTATCATGTATTACTCAGAAGTTTCTTTTATACTGTCACGAAACTTATGTAACTTTTTTTTTCTCTCTTTCTCTCTCATTGCAGTCTGCAACTGTGTCTGATGGAGGTAAGACAAAGTTTGTATTTACTTATATCAGTATTGGGAAAGAATCAAAGTTTCAGTAGTACAGTGTACTTAACAGTAGTGAAATCCTAGTAGTGTACTTAACAGTACACTACTGTAGGATTTCAGTAGGAATTGTCCCCATTAATATATTGCAGGGTTAGGCCTTAGGTGGGCATGTTGTGTTCCTTTGTTTATATGCAAAAATACCTTATGGCACTTGTGTCTAAATAAATGGTATTTAAAGTTGGGTGAGTATAAAATCAGGCACTAACTAGATAAAATCTTTCTGATTTCTTAAGTATTGTTTACCTAAGATAGTTACCTTGGCTATAGCACTTTTTTTTTTATCAACATTTCATTTTACATGTTAAAACAAGTTTTGCAGCTTTGTTTTGCACAGGTAGCTTCTAGCTAATGGGTTATTAGTGAACTCAGAGTTCTTGTTGAAGAGTGAAGTATGTTTTTAGGTAAATAATATTATAAAATAATATGATAACCTTACAATCTGAATATATGTAAACCTGTCTGAAGAGCTTTCTGTTAGATAATGCTTCTGTCTTTGATACCCTTTGTGTATTATTGACAGAGGTTGAGAGGAAGTCCTTTAATTTATGTCATTTGAGCACTCTAAACCAAAATGTGAGGTTGGTAAGGAACCATTGCTGTTTGGACTGTTTATTATGCTGTGCTCCAGAACGAGAAAAGGAATTGTTTGAGCTAAGTTTAAAGATGATTTTGCTTTTTCAGGTTTTAATGTGGCTGACAATGTGAAAAATTTGGAAGAACTTTATTTACACGAGAATAACATTTTCTACCTAAATTGAAATTGATGGCAGTTGAAGAAACTCAACTATTTGGAATGATTCTACACTCTTTTAGCATGATTCTAGCATTGTATTGGCCCATTCACGATAGCTGTCCAAATTTTGTTATAAACCAGAAAGTGCAGATCTTAATGGTTTACTTAAGCCTCAGTATAGCTTGTTGTTGCTGTTCTCATTGTGTGTTGTTGATGTGTTGTCAGAGTTGAAATATGAGGAACAGTGGTGCCGGCAAAAAGTTACAGCCAGTCTTGTCTTAAACAATGACCAGAGGCATGATTCAGTGGCAAAAGCTTGGCTAGGTTTTTGTCTATGTGCGGGCCGGGAGCGGTCTGAGGCCCTCGGGGGTTTTTTGCACGGCGGGCTGTGGCCAGCAGCCCGGACACGCCGGGTTGGGGAAGGCAGGCGGCATGCTAGAATTAGGCACGGAAGCTTAGTGGTTGATTAAAGATTATTTTACTTACACCGAAGATGGTCGCGGTGCAGGCAGGAAAACTTGCTTGAGTTGCAGTTACAAAACAAAACAAAACAAAACTCGAACCTGCAGGGCACGAGAGTACGTCGCAGGGGGTTTTCGGTGACGGGAAGATGCAAAACACGAGAGTACGTCGCAGGGGGTTTTCGGCGACGGGAAGATAAACCTGCAGGACTCGAACCCGGACAGAGCTCTGGATACACTCACACGAAGTTTGCTAGGCTCTGTGGAACTTGCGTGCAGGGAAGGGTACGTCGAGGGATCAGGCGGCGACGGGGAGAGGCGAGAGGCTGATCAGACCCCTATAGCCGCCTTAA